TGAGAAATTAGAATCTAAAATGTGGCTAAGAACGTATCCTCGAAGAAGTAAGAGAACTAGAAATAACCCATTAAGAGCTAAACCCTCAGGGTTTCGTTTCTTTGCACGATGGTTTGTCCCATGGTTAGGAGTTAGTGAATTAGAGAAAGCTATAGTTGAGAAAGTTGGGAACGAAACCTATGACACTGTAAAGGCCTTGCAGGAAGAAGTGTCTGAATTGGCAGAAATAACCCTTCTGAATAGAATGGCTTTGGACATGATGTTAACCTCTCAAGGAGGAGCATGCACGATGTTAAACACAAGCTATTGCGTATACGTAGATCAAAGTGGTAGAATTTTTACTGATTTAGAAGAAATTTGGAAACAGACAAAATTGCTCCATGAAATACAGAAAGATGACACTTCACATGGATTTGAAGAAACATTCAAATGGTTAACCTCCGGGATTCCCGACCTTAGTCAATGGGTGAGAAAGTTACTAGGTATTCTTACGATTGCTATATTGGGTTTTGTTTGTATGTATGTAGTAATACCGTGTTTTTGGAAATGTTGTTCTATAACTGGAAACCAAAGCTGTGAGAGGGTGAGACTAATATACGAAGAACTACAGTGAAGTTCTCCTTCTGTAGTCTCACAGGAGTTCGATTTATTGAGGGATATAGCTTTAACTATACACCCTCAAAAGAAAAGGAGGGCTTGGTACCAACTAGGAAGGAACAGTGAAGAGCCCTACGGTTCTGTGGTTGAAATGGTGCAGATGGTGAGGAACGCTTTCTGAATAGGCAGGCCGGACATCCAGCAGCTAAAAAGGCCTTGAAACTTTTGTGTTCTGCGGAAAATAGATAAGGAGGCTAACCTCGTATCTCGAGTAGAATAGATAAGGGGCTAGTGCTAGCTTGTAATGAGAATGGCGCTCATTAAGCCAAGAATTAAAACTGAGCATGCTAAGGACTGAGTTCAACGGAAGGACACCGTGAGAAAGACTGTCGATGACCACCCGAGGACCCTGAAAGACCACCAAAGAACAGAAGGGCGCGTGCGTCAAAGACTTTTGCCTATGTTAATGACTTCCGGGAAATAACATGAATATTTAGATTATTTCTCGGAAATGTAATGAATATGTATACTCCAGTTGTATATAACTTCTATTGTTATGTGATTTGGCACGCACACTAGGTGGAGCGATCCCCTGTGCGTCCCACGCCGCAATAAAGAATACCTGCTTTCTAAAACTCCAAATTGAGTCTTGGAGAGTTAGTCAGGAACTTCCTTGTTTCACTTCTCCCCTTAAACCTTTCCCCCCGCCTCCCCTTAAACTTTTATTCTTTCCTACTCTCCAACTCCTCTTGCCCTCTTCCACTAAAACCTTCCTTACCCCAAAACCTCCCCCCCCTCCAAAACCTTCCTTCCCCCCCTCCCCAAATAAGATAACCTAAAATTTTGATGCAGCATAGGGGACAGCAGGGAGGTTTCCCCTCGAAGTTTTCCAAGAGTTGTTTGTTGTTCCTGAGACAAGGATCCGCCGCCCACGGATGCTGAGGCTGAGCATCCTGGTGCTCGCACTGGGAGAGGCACATGGCCGCGGCCGTGGGCTGCTCCATCCACTGGGACTGTGGTGAATTCTTAGTAGGTCAATTTTAGGCAAGTAGCTTGTTGCATTTGCCCACGGCTAGCTAAACGACTGCTGTGGCCAGCTGGGCACGTTTGCTGTGGGTACAACTGGGCCACCCTGGAGCAGTCCCTGGTTAGCGGCAAAGAAAGAGCAGGGCACTGGGAACGTAACAGTGCTATCGCCAGTAGGCCAGCCGAGCTGGAAAGGTAAAGGACATGCTGCATGAGCACAGTCACCTACGTGCGGTCCGGATGCCGCTGAGAGACATAAGGAACTTGTGCTCGTAAATGGTTGCAAGAAACATGATGTCAACTGTTAAATAAAAACTGATTTAAAAGTCCTATTTTTCAATGCAGGTAATGCCACCACTCCAAATGAGCAGATATAACACCAAGTCAAGGGAAGACTAGGTGAGCACATCTTCCATTTGTAAGCACACGCTAATACCAAGAAATTTGGAATCTGAATATCCCTTTATTTACAAATTTTGACGTACATGTCAAAACACAACACAGTCACAAAGCTCTAAATACGATGAGATTCATACTGTATTCTGCCATGATACATCGATGGGAAAGGCCCCATTTTGTGGAAAGACAAGTTCCAAAATTAACTACGCCATACAGGCGTGTGAGCTGTCACAGCAGCCTCGAGCTGCCGGAAAACAAGAGTTGTGAGCAACGGAGGGACACCCTAGAACTGACTACAATCAACTTGAGGGCAGTTAAGCAAAAACGGTTTCATAACAGCCCCAAGATAAAAGTGATGCCATCTTTTTCTTCCTACAAGCCACTGTTGAGTTTTACACTTATATGTCCCATTCCCCCCGAGGGACCTAAAGGACTGATGACTTAGTTGAGTTACTGAGTGCTCACAGAAGCCTTTTCACATGCCACCTGCATCACAGCTCCGTATTTTACACTAATATTCTTCCTTCACCAGACATTCACCCAGTGCAGCCAGACAACAGGCCCGGTTAAACACCCGAAAGACAACCGCCCAAAGACAGGGACGAAAGCACGGAGGGAAAAGGAATCTAACACAAGGTCACACATGCTGCTGAGCATTAGCAAGGGTTTCAAAGGAACGGCTGGGAACATTTACACCTTTAAACATTGTATTTCTTGCACAAACGTTCTCCACTGACGTTTTTGTCAAGGCAAAGGTGCTTTCCAATACAGATCCAAAACAGGGCAAATTCAGCAGCTATCTACTCTCTTCACTATTCCTTTAAAAAGAAAACCCTCGAGAGGGCAGCGGTTATCCAAAACAGGGCAAATTCAGCAGCTATCTACTCTCTTCACTATTCCTTTAAAAAGAAAACCCTTGTGAGGGCAGCGGTCCAACAAAAGAAACCCTTCAAAATCCTCCAAACTAGCTTTTGCCCTTGTCACGCACGCTATTTTTTTTTCTGAGCAACCTCAGACAAGACCTGGCCCTGGGCCAGAAAGTGGACATCTCGGGAGCGGTTTTGCATGCAAGAAATCCAGCAGCAGCGGCAGCGCGAGCTCTGTCCTCCGACTGGACCTGAGCCACTTCCCACGGCAGTCCGCTGCGCTAACAAGAGAGTAAGGGATCCTCCTCTCTCCTGCAGAGACCTTGCAGCTTTAGCACCTGGAAACTCAGGTGGATCGTTCGCACTGTTTCAGCCACCTGCATCAAGAGGAGAAAAGCAAAATGATGTTATGGGCCGGCTAACAAAACCACAGAGGTACTGCCTGATGATACGCTTCCTTTATTTTGATGTATTACACGTCCTTACCTTGCTAAAGCTGTGCACTGACACCTCTCTGCTTCACAGATGAGACAACTTTAGTAAGGTTTCTTTTTCCCCCATTTCTATTACCCGGATGGCTTCCCATCCCAATGGTTTTTCTTGTTTCTTCCTAGTAGCATTAAGCCATCACTTCATGTAAATTTAAGCGCCAAATACACTCATATAGATTAAGAGCACGTGCAGCACTTGTGCAGAGATTTCAGAGTCAGCAGTTGCTCCCTCTCCTCAAAAAGGAAACACCAGAGCCCAGAAGAAAAAACAGAGGCACAGTTTGCACCTGCATGTTAACAGTATAGCCATGACACGCTCGTGGCTATCTGTAACAAACTCCAAGCAAGAGAGGAGGGAGGCTTGCGGTGCCTGGTGGTCCCTGTGGCCACAGGGAGAATCCCCAGAGGGACAGGTATGCAATCACGTCCAGGCTGGCAGCACCAAGGTACCCAGAGCACTGAGTAAAGCCCATCTAGGCAGGACACAAGGCTCTAATAGAGCTGGTGAGATTTTGGAGCACAGCCTCTGAAAACCCTTCCAGAGCACCTTGTCTCCTTCCCTCTTTATTCTCCCCAAGTTCGGCTCCTTCCAGAAGGTGCAGTCCTTCTGCCCAGCCTCAGTGAGCAAAGAGGGGTGATCATGTGAGTAAAAACCCTCAGCTAAGCACTGCAGTTCTCGCTTTCAAGAGGATGAGACAAACTCCAACACATACAGCAGACTCCCTGGAAGATGCTGAGCAACAAGAAGTAACGATATGCCAATAGAAAAAAGCAAAACAACAAACAAAACCACACAAATTTTTCTGTGAGGGTTTTTTTTTTTTTGGACACAAAATGACTTGCAGAACTGCACGTCCTTCAATGGTCAAGATCAGAAACTGTTAAAACCACATTTAAATGCCTCAGCTTAAAACAATCTAGAATGCTAAGATGCAATGCTAAGTGTAAGTGCAAACAGTGTGGCAGAGTTCAAACTTAGTACTTCCATCTTAAGACTACAAGTCAACCACACAGCTGGGACTTTTCCTAAGCCGCTTTCTCACCCAGACTCCTATCTCGTGCTTGGAGAGCACTGAGGTATAACAGCTACATGAAATAAATTCAGATTGCATGACATTGTTAGTAAAAATTTTCCCTATGTAAAGCTTGACAAGCCCTCCCGAATGCTTTTCTCCCTTCTTGCAAGTCCATTTTCTGTGATGCACTTGACCGTGCTGTACATACACCCATTTTTTCCACGTGAAGGCAGCCACTTTACCCTTTTCGTTATTCTATCAGCTTCCTCAATCCCCAACTTCATGAGCTGCTTAATTTCCAACACCAATACCCAGCACCTCAGTTCAGGAAAACAACATACCTGCCACAGTCAACTTAAGTATCTGTAAAGAAAGCTGCGTGCTGCCCTCCATAAGAAGTCTGTCCTAGCTAGGAGTCGTAATCGAGAATGCGAAGTGTAAAAGGACTTTCCCATTGCACCTCCCAACTAGGTAAGCGTTCATGAAGCTGTCTGTTTGAAAGATACCAGAAAACTACACAGCACAAATTAAAGCCACCAGAAGGCTACACTGCAGAAATTAAAGCCTACCTTTTACAGGCCGGTGTGATCTCCTTCTCCATAAGGCTAGTGCTCGACTCTGGGGAAACTGGCTTCTGACGCATCGGGCATCAAGGTCCCCGACAGCTGTAAATTGGGAAGGAAAAGAAAGAAAAGAAGAAAGGGTCAACTTCCAAGTGTAGTATAAATAGAGAGAACAATCAGAAACTACCCTCTAGGGACATGTGCAATGCGAACGTGCAACTTAAAACAATTCTGTTCTTTGACCAAATCAGACTTCAAAAATGCCTCCCTCCCGCCCCAATACAGTCTGCCGAATCTCAAGTGGAAGCAAGGTAGCCAAAGTGACTGCCTATGGAATTACTTAACTCCCAAACAACATCTCCATGTTACTGAGGAACTAATCTGCAAGAGTTGCAAGTTTTCCCCTTCTCTCCCTATGCCTGGCTCCTACGCTTTCTCCCTCCCTACTGCACTCGGCCCCTCAACATCTAACACAGCCAGAACAGTTCTCCTCTAAACATGTGTCCCTCCTGGTCTCTCTTCAACTCTGGTAAATCAGCCTTACTTCCACCTTGATCCAGCCAGCTGAAATAGCAACAATTCACGTTGTCAGTCTTAGCAGTAAGAATCTAGTATTTAGCTAACCTCAGAGAGGCAAATAAAGCCCCATGTTTCATCTGTGACCCTTCTCTTTTCCCTCAGCATAAGGCCTCAGGTCCTTTTATTTAGACAGTTAAGAAACCAAGGCAAGTTCTGCTTCTGTTAAGAGTCACATGGGAAATTTGTGGGTCACGCTGTTCAGAAAGTCCCAAACCAAACAAATACAGAGCAGCACAAACTATTTTATTGCTTTGTTACCTGCTGCGAGGCCAGACTTGAGTTATGGAGGTCAATAGCAGCAAGGGAGGGGACACGGGACTCTGAAACTGTTTTATTTTCCTTTTTCAGAAATCTGGGATGCCACGCTGCAAAACACAACCAATGCATACCATATTAAGGAAGCAAGAGCTGACTGCTCTAATGCACGCTGCTTCCTGCCACTTATTTAGGATCCAGGTTTTATTTCGAGGACATCAAAGCTCATACCTTCCACTCCTCTCAGTTCAGGGAGATGATTTAGTTCTGGCAAACGCACATCTGTCTTGGAGAATTCCCATTTTTTCCTATTTGCCTGAAGGATGTTTTTTTCATTAGTAACCTGTAATCAAGGGCATAAGTACCAGCTCATGAAAATACAGAAAAAACAAAGCTATTTTCAAGCTTAAAAATGCATCAACACAGCAATGTTCCACTGTAGTTGGAACTTGTGCAAGAGTAAAAGAAAAGACTCTAATGTGTGTGAAGGAAACCATTCTGCTCAAGTGTCATTTATACATTATAAACAACGGAACAACCACAGTAAAAAAACCCCAATCATCTAAGATAGACTGCTTTCAGAGAGACAAAATACAACACTTGGAGAATGGCTCGGATTAGTTACCTGTAAGAAGGCAAACGTTCCTGCTGGCATGGAAAGAATATTGCCTAGGTAGTGAATGCAGTGAAAAGCTTTCCATTTCACTTGTTTTCATTATCAATTTTTAATGCATTTATGACACGACTAAGTAAGGCCCTGACCACATTAAATCCAAATCCTAAATTCTGCTTCAGTAGCGCAGCACATATGGTCTACTTATCCTGGCCAGGCAGGAGGCCATATATTCCACATCTCACAGATATCCTGAGTTGGACTGCTCCTCTCATTTAAAATTGCCCTCTGACACAAAATATGTTTCATATAATATAACTACTAGCAAAGGATAACAGATGACACACCTGTAGGAAAAAAGGGATACAGAAAATAATATTTGTAGTTGGGAGTTATGATGAAGGCTGCAACAGATGGGATGCTTGACAATAAAACACATACTCGACTTCAGAATTTATTTTTGCTTTGCCAAGGGGGAAAGACAGACAACTTACCGACGTCAAGCTCACACTGTAATGGCCCGCTGGAGAATGCTTCCGTTGCTTTAGAAATGGGTTCAAGTATTTTTTACTCTTTTCATCAACTCTGTAATCAAAAACGCCACAAACTTTGTATTAACTGGGGTAACACGGTGAATATAAAACCAGCAAATATAAGACACCCAGAAACACCGTCATTAAATGCTTAGAAAGAAGGCTCACGGGGAGCATATCCTTCGTGAGCGCAGTTAACAGAGAAGTCTGGTCCAAAGGACAAGCCATGAGTCAAAAAAAGGCCAGTGTCACAGCCGCTGGCAAACTGCTGCTGCCCAATAGCGCTTTGCCAAACGCAGAAACGCAGACACCCCGCGCCTGTGTGGACACGCACAGCTGCTCGAGGTGAAGTCGGGCTTCCTTATCCACGTACAAGCCTCCACCAAAGCGCTGTTCCTAGCCGTGTCCTGTCCCAAACCCACATCTCGCGTTCCCACATCACCACCCTCCACCTCTCTCAGGACATTACAGTTCCTCAGCAACAGGGACGATGGATACAAGCTCTTCTAGCTCTGCTCCCGTACCTGTAGTTAAGGCTCCCAGGCACAGGCCCCATCCCAACCGTAGTGGGAGAAAGGTTCTGGTTGATAGGAGGGATAACTATGCCTGCATTCTTGGCATAGTCCAAGCTGCTGCTGGAATCTTTTAGGCTGGTTTGAGGGCTTATTTTAAATGGGTTGATCGCACTGTCGTAGAGGGAGCTCAGGTTGGAGGATCGGTCTGCTTTCTCTGCGTCAGCTTTAGAGCGCTTCGCCTTTAATAGCTTTGCATCTCTGCTCTTCGGGTCAATGCTGAAATCCTGTTTGGGAAGATAAGCATCGTCTTTCTCTTACAGTCATGTTTAAAAAGTCAAGCAGCGCATGTGGGGAAAGAAGTCAAAAGCCTCAATCTGCATGATTCTGCAAGGATCTGATGGAGATGGAATTGTTTTTAGTAGAAAACCTCTGTTTTCCATCAAGTGGGAGGTGACTCGTCAGGGTTCCAGCACCCTCTATAAGTAAATCACTTTAGAATGGGATCGGAAATGATGGAGGAAGAACAGCCGTATCCTGTGTCACCTCCAAAGAAATTACATAAGAACTGAGCCCAATGTCACCTCAAAGTGACTCTGAAGCCTCGTCTCCTTAGTATCTGACTGAAAGGGAAATACGTAATTTTGGAGACAGGGCTTAAGCACAGGTAAACAACGGCAGACAAGCATGTTTTCGTGATTCAACACGAGTTATGCTTCCTAATCGATTCTCCCTCCAGCTCCATATTTGCCAGTAACTGCATCACGATGTAGTTTACCTGCAAGGGACTGGCCAAATAGCCACTTGCAGACTGCCGAGCCAAGCACTAGAGTAACCTTGTGGCAGCCAAACAGCTAGAATCAAAGGCACAGAACTTCTACACAACAGCCTGCAGGCTGTGTTGCACTGAGCATCAGAGCTGTGGGGGCACAGGCCTAACGTACTGCCTTGAATCGAGCGATAAGGTCTTCAGCGCTGTCTAGACTCTCAGTGGCCTCCGAAGTTGAGCTTCTCTGGCACATGACGCTTACCTAGTCTTTTTTAAAAAAACGTAATGGACAATTGTGCTTATATTTTTGCTATGAACTTAAACTGCTGCACATACTTAATACAGTGATTTTAAAACATAAAAAAACCCCAAACAAACTAGGTTTGGAAAACAAAGATGGACCAACCTGGACACCAAGCATTTTTCTTTCTTCTAAAACATCCTCTTTGTCTCTTTTGCTGATTTTTGATTTTTTCTGTAATTGATGGTCTCTGGCATCTTTCTGAATCTTTAATTTAAGCTCCTGAGCAAATCTACATTCCATACAAGAAGGAAGAGGGGAAAAAAAAAAAGAAAAAAAAAAAGGGGCTTCTGTTAATCTCAGTATCATCACCAGCTGGTGTTCAGCACAGGCTCCTATAGCCTTTTAAGTAATCAAACAAACCACGCCTTTTTAACTAACGAGAAGCCAGCCAAATATGACGTATCCATTAAAATAAATAAAATTTTACAAGCACACGCTGTTCACATTACAGCAATAAAGGTGTTTGCATCCCAGTCTGGTGTAGATGCAGACAGTGAATACAGTGTAAGACTATACTACCCAATACGGTGTGACACTGGGTGCGCACGCCGATGAATTAATGTCTCGAGAAGGTAATGAGGCAAACATGCCGCTGCAACGTGTTCCCTTTCAACTGTTCTATTTGCAGGAAGGCTAAAACCAAACAAAACGCAAGACATTCAGCAGCTGTCAGCTCTGCAAACCCAGCGTGCAATCTTCAAGCACAACTGCTTAACTTCCTTCTAAAGTTAGCCTGCTCTGAGCAAGAAATGAACTGTTTACCTTTCAGCAAATCCATCCTTGTTAAAGAAATCGCACTGCAAGAGCTCAGCACAGGATGGTCTTTTGTCTGGATCAATCTGCAAACACTTCTGTCAAATCAACGTAAACATTAGAAGGCAAAATATTAGAAATGAAACAAAGGCTCTAGCATTTCTGAGCGAAGACAAAAAGAAAAGCTGCAGAACTCCCCTTTCTAAGGCCTGTTATACTGAGATGTGCCCAAGAGACACCACTACCTGAAAAGTTTAATGTTTGCTGGCTGCTTCCATTCCAATCACTAATGGTCACAAAGACTCCGCTCTCCATAAACCTCCCTTGTTTTCAGTTACATCTGTTTGGCTAAGGCTTTAGAACCTGTTTTGATCATTAGGCATTTCGAATACAGCCACGTTGGTTTTAAGTTGTTTTAGTTACCCAACATATCGGTGCTCCAGACTACTGTGTGAAAGCACAAAAACACTCCCTGGAAGGATTCTTCAGAATCTATTACAAAGCTGTAGGCTTCCCAACTCCCACATAGTAGACACACAGCTCCAAGAACAAGGGACACGTTTGGATGCCATCCCATCCAAGCCTACTTGCTTGCAGTGCTTCTATCAGCAGGTAGGGGGAGGGTTGGCAGAAAACATTATATCCACACAGCTCTACTAGTAAGTAAGAAGGAAGGGGCTACGTATTATCTATCTACAAAGGTAGCAGATGAGGAGCAAATCTTGCTGAGAGACCTTTCAAAAGATCAACTGATGCAGTGAGGTGTACGGGGGACACTTTCAATACACAAGCCCTTCTTCACCTTTCAAACCTCTTTGGAAAACGTAACCAGTGGAGCACTATATGCTACAAATCCTCCCTGGAGGATATGCAGTGACCATTTTGGCTCTGGAGATGACTGGCTTAGTCTCCCCTGTCACCCGGGACGGTAGCTGTCGTATCCTTGCAGTCCTCACTAAGCTACCAACCCAAGCAGTTGCTCATTGCACAGGTAGTTGAGAAGAAGCCAGTTTAACAGCCCCAGCCCTTTCTGTAGGCTGTATTCAGCTCCCCAAGGTGAAGGACAAGTCAATAGATAAACGTTCATCGTAGATGATCAGTTAGTTACCTTGGCTAAATCTAGCACTGCAGCAGAGAGCTTGGGATATCGTTTGTCCAGAGATTCGGCCTCCTTCACTTCAGGCAACCTCATGCCAGCAAAGAGGGGATTTTTATAGAATAACTCTTGGTGTCTTGGAATTAAATTACCTGGAATCACACGAACAAAGCAACCACATGGAAGAAATACAGAACAGTCCGGTGAAACAACTGAGAGGCTGAAATACTGGGTCAGCCCTACTGTAAGGGCTACAGTCTGGATCGTTCTCTGGGTCGTTCCACCTGCGCACCATGAATTAATGCAGTACTCCCCTTCTCCCCACACTCTACTCCCCCCGTCGAAATTTATTTGACCCCTTCATTACTAAGCAGGCACCAGGAGCCCAACAGACTGTTCTTACCCAAGCACTTGGTGATATGGTAGAGCTGGTCAATGTCTGAATCTCCAGGGAAGAGGGGCTCTCCTGTAAGCATTTCTGTTATCAGAGAGCCAATAGCCCACACGTCCACAGCCCTGGAAAAAAAAAAACAAAAAACCAACACCCCAGCTCAGCATGGCTTCACTCGTCTCTTTGATCTAAAGGCTGAACCAGGCCAGTGCACAGCATGTCTTAGGCAGGTTACAAGCCCCGAGGGCAGCTTTGTCCCCCTAAACAGCAAGACAGCTGTTTTCCAAGCTTACAAGTGCTCTGATGAATAGCAAGCATTCAGCTCTTGAAGCAGGCAAATGCTAGCAGAAGCCTGACAGATGTAAAATCAGCTTCCAAAACCCAATGCTTTAAAAATACTAATAGAACGTAACACATTAGTAGAATCTTGCACTTGAGAGAGCACAAAGGTAAGCTGCTCCTCCTTCTGCAGGCAACCACTCCTCAGGCACATCTACTGAAAATTAAGTTTAAGTAATACAGGGACAAACATAAACCTGCACAACTGCACTAACAGACCTGTGAATAACACAGTTTAAGTTCAGACCTGGTTTTGCAGCACTGGGGATCCCAGTAAGAAACATCTCATTCATCCCACCTCCTCCCTCCTGAAATGTCCGTCTAGAATTGTTTGGAGGGACTTTTCTGTCTTCCCTCCATGACTCTAACTGCACAGGAGGGAAGTCTAACCATAGCCTCCTCCAATACCAGCCTTGGCAACTGAAAAGCTCCTATAGACAACAGACCAGAAATACTGAGGGCTCTCCTCGCCTTTTGAGCCAGGAAAGTCTAGCACTGGCAGTAGTTAGCTGCAGAGTGGGAGACAGAAGAGGAAGGCTTAAACCTTTACAAGTGAATAATCATTCTGATGGTTATTCTGAACAGCATCCACAGCATCCCTTTAACCTGCTTGCCAAGCAATAGCCCCCTGCCTCCCCAAAAAACAGAGCACCCCCCTCCATACTCCCCACAAGCCCACAACCCTTCTGGAGCCTCGCATGCCAGTCTTACTTGCCATACTTGATATCTCCCACCAGCAGCTCTGGAGCTCTGTACCATCGGGTTGCCACGTAGTCTGTGTAAGCTTCCCCAGAAGCTGCTAAGGTACGGGCAAATCCAAAGTCACATAGTTTTACAACTCCCGACTGAGAGACTAGTATGTTCTCTGGCTTAATATCCCGATGTATTATCTGCACAAAGAAAAGCAAGTCAAGACAAATAAATTCCCCATTTCTACACAGTAAATTGACTGGCTCACCAAAAATAGCAGCCTTCTCACATCCAGGTAGAAAATTACATTTTTGCAAGCATGGGAAACATACGGAGTCTGTAAAATATAGCTATATGCACACGGTCAATGAACAAACGCTGACCCAAGTGCACAGGTAAACACAGAACCTTAATTTTTGCACACATAAATGTTTATTTTATGTATCTCTCTGCATATGTTCTGCAGGTGTATTTACTATAGGTATTTTAACAGGCATAATTTATTATGCTTGAAAAGCTGGCCTTGACCACAAGTTTAAAAGCTCTGAGTATTTCAAGGGCCATGGGCATGTCCTGCAGTTAAATGTGAAACGTATTTTAGGAATTCCTAAGAGAGATAGCTTCCCAAACATAAAGATAAATAAATAAACACTTGTGTGTTTATATAAACACTTGTGTGTTTATATATATAGTTACACAACTAGGATTAAACTGGCAAACCTGTTAGAAATCAGTTGAGAACACAAACCTAAAAATACTGAAGAGAAAAAGAAAGCTTACATATTTACATAGACACTATCAGAATCAAACTTTTGAAAGAGAGACTATCTCCCTCTGCAAGATAAGCCAACCTAGAATCGGGTGCCACCAACTATTGAATACCCATGAACTTCTGGACCCTTCCTTTGAAACACTCTCACAAATCAATCAGAGACAGACTACTGGATTAGCTGACATCAAGCTCTGACATTTTATATGAAATTCAGTCTGGCCCTTCTGCCCTGCCTCTTTCTTTTCAGTCAAAGCTTTGTTTCTCTAAGTTTTAATATATATCAAAAATACACGCTTCTGTATCTATTCATTCAAGGTTAACTGCAGAGCTGACTTATTGTGCATACTTACATTATGACTGTGACAAAACGCTATTCCCCTCATAATCTGAAATAAGTATTTCCGAACCCTGCTGTAGTCTAGTCCGTTTGGAAATGCCTCAAGGTCATCAAGCACCGTGTGATCCACAAATTCAAACACCAGATACCACCGTTTCTTCTTTTTACACACTTCCAGCAAGTTCACGAGATTCTCATGCCTGAGTTGCTGTGATAAAACAGGAAATATTTTGTGAGAGTTTGACAGCACATAATGGCTGAACTACAACCACACACTTTTCACTGCAACCCAGCCGGTGCACTACCCTGGAATGCTCTTCTTGTCACGGCACTCACATTCATTTATTCTTAAAATCAGCTCATTGATATTTTAGAATAGGTTTTATTTTGCCAATTTTTTTTTTTTTTTTTTAACATTATCTGGAGGATTTCCACCACCTCATATATGCAGACACCTTTTTTGAAACCTAAAAATAAATAAAACACTGACTAAGGACATTTCTTCTTAATGGGGATGCTCAAAATACACTGTTTTGTTGTTGGAATGTCTCACGCATTCTGCTTCTCACAATACTCTCCTCACATGCAAGGTGACATTAGCTCGTGCCCTGATCTTGACAAGCTTTAGAGCAAGTTTATGTTCCACATGAGAGAAATCTTGAGAAAGTCAAAAAGAAGGAGCTCGAGAGGAGCATGTGGTTAACACGTGAGAGACAGAAGACACCTAACAGCATCTCCCACAAAGACTTGCCACAGTAAAGGAAAATCCAGAGGTCCCCGAGCTAGCAGGAAAGACAAAGCAGGACGGTTTGTACTGGAAAGTTCAGCATGCTGCCAAGTACGTCTCCCACCACTGTGAGAAGAAGAACAGGGCATTTAACCATGACTGCTGAGCTGCAGAGACTCCTTGCTAGTTCCCTGGTTTTGCTCACAAACAGCTGAAGCAGCAATAAACACAGCTTGTTCTCATAACATCGGGCTGTACCTCAAACTCCTTTAGGAGATACTCTCATCAAGGTGACCAAGTAACACCGTGCTACCCTGCCTGCTCCCTCAGGGCAGGGCACGAGGAGCCACGCTAGCTACCCCTTCCAGACAGGATTCAAAGGATTGCTGAAGACGGCTCTCAATGTTTCAGGAAAACTTTTTGCCTCTCCCAACAACCCAAAGCTGATTCATCTCTTTTCTCCCACGTTTCCAGGAAATTTTACTCTTCTCTGTCATTCCTTTTTAAAAAGCTCTTACATCTCCATTTAAAAGAAGAACAAAAGCAGCTGCAATACCCCTCTATTCTACCTAGCTGCCAGTTCATCACCAACTACTCAGTGTCTGTATCTTAATTTTTTCTAATAAGGAAGATAGAAGACTTTTCTTTTAAGCTCCTACCATACCCAAAGCATTTCTGTTGGCACTGCCAGCTCATACGCATTTACAGTAACTAACATGTGCCAGAAGACAAGCACATTGAACGGCTAAAAGGGAAGTTCAGCATTCGTACCTGTAATAGTGATAACAATTAAACAGCTTCTATTAAACTGTGTCTAGTGGATTCAGAGTGAAAATTGACCAGCCAAGGATTTGAAGAGACTTTTTTTTTCTTGCAATATTCAGCAGAGGGGAAAGCTGAAGATAGTTTAGAGAAAAAAACTGCAATTTAAATGAAAAGAAGAAAAAAGCAGCTGTATTTTCTAGTTATTTTGTCATGACATTCTGACCAGACAAGAACACACCTCCAATTTGTTACACATTTGTAACACTGGTTTATCACACACCACTTTAACAAAACAGACCACGCTACAATGCGCAGTTATTTATTAGCTTGGAGCCTAGCAGGGAAATACCATCGGAGCCTGCCTGAAGGCAGCACATAGCCCAGGGATCGCCACCAAGGAAGATGCAAAAGGTCTGCAGAGCACAGGGACTTGTAGGGGAAATGCTCTGCCAGTCCAGAGGGAGTGCCAGCCAACCTGCACCTGGGTCTGTCAAAGACCCAGATTTCTTAGAAGGTCTGAAAAGTGAGGATTTTAAAAAAGATGATCAATTAGAGAAAAACTATTTTCTGAAGAATAATTTCTTCCCAGCAAAGGAGACCTGAAGATGTTTTGCTGTTTTCAGCCATGATTAAATTTCTGCCCAAACTCCAGAACAGGAAAAAACTAAAAAAAATAAATTAGGTTCACAGGGAGCATGCAAGTGAAGAAACTACAAAAAGATTAAATCTCTAGGTATTTATTTTCACTGTGAGAGGCCACACTTACTGAGTTACTTACGGAAATATTCCCCTTGCTAAGTTCCCATTTACCCAGGAAAACAAGTTAATTCCCAACACACCTGGGAGGCGGTACGTGCTTTGACTCGGTAACTAAGCGAGCCTGGCCAACGGATCAGGTACGATCCGGACTCACACAGCTCTGCTTAAAAGTAGTTTGAGGGGACAATGCTTGGAGCTGCTGGCTGCATCTCAAGCTCCAGCACGTGCATTTCCATTAACTATAAGGGTCTGTAGCTCTTGCAGTGATGGCAGAGTTGACTTTTTTTCCTTCACAGCACAGGGACTATAGTCTGGCAGACTTGCGAAGAGACACTCGTGGCAGCCAAGGGGACAGGAGACAGGCTTGCACGTACTCCCACCTCCAGAACACCCCGCATCAGAGGAAAAGCCTAGAGGCACTCCAACTGTAATAAGACTTTCCGTCATTTTTTCACCAGACCCATCACCCGTGTCCCAACGCTTAAAACTACGACGTGTGCCCACGCACAGGGACAAGCACTCTTCTGTGCATACCTCCTGCGGGACAAGGGAAGGAGGAAAATGCTGCACCTACTACTAAAGGTTACGGTGGCAAACACAGGGGCTGAAGGCGGTCAGAAGAGCAAGCAGAACAACAGATGTATGTCCTGGCACAGAATGCCACCCTGCATCCTTGGCATCCTAGACACGAAGGAACGCAGCAGAAAACACTGGCAGTGAAAGAGTTTAGGAACTTGCAAAAGCTTCTTAGGAGGAACAAAGCCAAGAGAGGAAGCTGAAAGACCATATGACAAAACACTGAAGAGCACACACACAAACCCTGTTTATCTAAAGCTCCTGGGTATTTTCCCAGACAGATTATCTACAGCCCATGAAGAGAAGTACCTTTAATAAACCAACCCACACAATGAGGCTACACCACATAATACTGCTGATAAGAAGCCAACAGGCTGAAGTACGACTGGACATTTAGGCGAGTATAAAGCATCCACAACTGATACCAGGCAAATCATGCACTCAAACAGCAAAGGACATTACGCTGGCTGGCTTCAGCCCAGGGGCTAGCCATTGATTGATAAGGTTCAGGGAATTTGATACCTGTCCTCCTCCAGCCTCTCGCTAGCAGTACAAGCCTGCCAGGAAAATCACATTAATAAAATAAAATAAATTAAAACTTTCCTAGAAGCATTTTTCCTATCAGGGAACACAGGTATCCAGTCCGGTTAGGCCCACTGTCACACATTCAAGTCACCATTCACCTGCAGGTTTTAGAAGTTCAGCATTTCTTTCGTTTTCAGCAAATTCACAGCAGCAAGGTATGCAAATTGGGTACGCAACACAGGGGGACACACTCACCACCAGGAGGCAATGGAGACCTTGTGACTCCTTTCCTCGGAAGGGCACATAAACAGACTTCTAATCAAGTCAGGTTTAGTCAGGCAAATCCAGCACAGCACTCAGCCAAAGGGAAAAGCAGGTCTGCAAGGCTACAACTCAAAAGCTAAACGAACCTGGCCATGGCTTGGCTGCTCGTGGAAATACAAACAGGGCCCAAACAAGTCTCTTTTGTTTTGGACTTCGTTAAGTTATACTTTGCAAATCGTGGTCAGAAGCAACCGCGTTTCCCTTTCAAAACTGACCCAATGGCTTAAATTTACAGCTATCTTATAACCTCACTGGCTAAACACCCCTTCTTAAAGGACTATTAAGGAGTCTCAAGAGGCAGCTTCCTCCCAAAAACCCATCAACCCCCGACAGGTAGATCTCACCCCCACCCATCAGTTCTAAACAATTAGCACCTTTACTGCAAGAAAAACGCACACCACAGACATAAGGTTACTATTCCGCTTGAAGGAGACATTTGCCTTCACGAAGGTACTTAAAACACCTCAGTAGGATTCAAAACACGCCGCGAAGAGGCACCCGGAGCACGGCAGAGGCTGGACCCGCAGACCGCCGCTCGCCCTCCCCAGGGAACACCCATGCTGAGCTGCATCGCCCTCCTTGCCTGCAGCAGGGCAGGTTGCTGGAATAGTAACAACAGGAGCTTCAAACAAAAAGGTCACGCTCTGTATGAGCCACCTCGGTGCAGCGGCTCACGACAGACATTGGACTGCGACATAAACATCTCCCA